AGAGACCCACCTTAGACACAAAGATAAAAACAAATTAAAAGTTAAGGGGCGGAAAAAACATATACCAAGCCAATGGTAACCAAAAAGAGCAGGAATGGCAATATTAATTTCTGATGAAATAGACTTCAAGCAGTGTAATAGACAAAGAAAGACACTATCGGATACTAAAAGGGTCAATTGACCAAGAAGACATTACCATAATAAATATCTATGCACCCAATGAAAGTGCTCCAAAATACGTGTAGCAAATACTAACTGAATTGAAAGGAAAAATAGATAACTCTACAATAGTAGTAGGAGACTTTACCACATCACTTTCAAGGAGGAACAGGTCAAGTAGAAAAAAACTCAAGAAAGATACAGAAGAATTCACTGACACAATGAAACAACTCGACTCATAGACTTATACAGAGCACTCCATCCAACAAAAGCACAATTTGCATTCTTCTCCAGTGCACATGGATCATTCTCCAGAATAGATCATATGTTAGGACATAAAACAACCCTCAATAAATTCAAAGGCATTGAAATACTACAAAGCATCTTCTCGGACCACAACGCTATAACTTTAGAAATCAATAATAGGAAGATCAAGGAAAAAAATATCAAACATGGAAGTTGAATAATACACTGCTCAAAACCTACTGGGTAATAGAAGAAATAAAGTGTGAAATTAAAAAAAAAAAAAATCCTAGAAACAAACAAGAATGTATATCTTACCAAAACCTATGGGACACAGCAAAAGCAGTACTTGGAGGTCAATTTATAGCAATAAATACAGACATTAGAAAAGAAAAAAGAAGCAAAATCAACACTCGAATTCATCAACTCTGAAAATCAGAAAAAGAGCAACAAATGAAACCTACAATATCCAGAAGGAAATAACAAAGATCAGAGCAGAAATAAATGAAACAGAAAACAAAAAACAGTAGAGAAAATCAACAAACCAGAAAGCTAGTTCTTTGAAAAGATTAACAAAATTGACAAACCACTGGCAAATTTAATAAAACAAAAAGTTGTAAATAAGAATAATAAAGGAAAAGGGTGGCATCACAAAAATCCAACAGAAATAAAAAAAGATATTGACAAATTATTATGAATAACTATTCTCAAGTCTCTAGACTTGAGAACCTAGAAAAGACAGACAAGTTTCTAAAACACAAGACCTACCTGAACTATTTCAATCAAAGATAGAATACTTGAACAGACCCATAACCAAAGAAGAAATTGAGCAGGTGAAAAAAAAATTCTCACAAGAAAAAGTCCTGGCCCAGATAGCTTTACTGGAGGATTTTACAAAACATTCAGAGAAGAGTTAACACCTATACTCCTGAAACTATTCCAGAACATAGAAAAAGATGAAATACTCCTAAATTCATTTTCTGAAGCAAGCATAACACCAATACCAAAATCAGGGAAAGACACTACTAAAAGAGGAAAACTACAGACCAATATTCCTCAACAAAATCCTAGCCAACAGAATCAAACAACATATTAAAATAAATAAATAAATACACTTTGACCAAGTGGGATTCATACCAGTTATGCAAAGATGGTTCAACATCAGAAAATCAGTCAATGTAATCCACCACATAAAACAAAACAAAAGAACCATATGGTCATATAAATCAACACAGAAAAAGCATTTGATAAAATGCAACACCTCCTCCTGTTCAGAACTCTAAGCAAAATAAGGATAGAAGGGAAATTTCTCAACATGATAAAGGGGATATATGCAAAGCCAATGACCAAAATTGTTGTTAATGGAGAAAAACTCAAAGCATTTCCTTTACATATGGGTACCAGACAAGGATGCCCTCTATCACCACTTCTATTTAACATTGTATTGAAAGTCCTAGCCAGGGCACTAAGGCAAGAAAGAGAAATAAAAGGCACACAATTTGGCAAAGAGGAAGTAAAACTATCTCTATTCACAGATGATGTGATTTTATACATAGAAAACCCAAGAGATTAAAAAAAAAAAACTACTGGAACGAATAGTGTCAGCAAAGTGGGAGGATATAAGGTCAACATACAAAAGTCAGTTAGATTCCTCTACATCAACAAAGAGCCCTCTGAAAAAGAAATAAGGAAAACAATACCATTTAAAATAGCTACTTAGAAGATAAAATATCTAGGAATAAATTTTATCAGAGACACAAAAGACCTAGACAAAGAAAACTATAAAATACTACTACAAGAAACTACAAGAGATCAACAGAATTGGAAGAACCTGCCTTGTTCATGGATAGGAAGACTGAATATTGAGAAAATGTCAATACCATCCAAAGCAATGTACACATTTAATGCAATCTCAATCCAGATACCATCAACATATTTTAAGGATATGGAAAAACCAGTTACTAACTTCATATGGAAAGGAAAGAGAAATCAGATAAGTAGAACACTACTGAAAAAGAAGAATAAGGTGGGAGGTCTCACACTCCTGGATCTCAAGACCTACTCTCTCCTATATCTCAAAACCTACTGTGCAGCCACACTAGTCAAAACAGCATGGTATTGGTACAATGTTAGAAAAGCAGACCAATGGAACAGAATAAAAAACCCAGAAATAGGTCCATCTATCTAAAGACAGCTGATCTTTGACAAAGGACAAAAATCCATTAAATGGGGACAAGATAGCCTCTTTAACAAATGGTGCTGGCAAAATTAGATATCCACCTGCACAAAAATGTAACAAGACCAATATCTCACCCACACGCAAAAACAAAATCAAGTTGGATCAAAGATTTAAATGTAAAACCCTAAACTATAAAGCTCCTCAGAGATAAAAGGGGCAAATCAAGGGGCCCTAATTACAGCATAAACTATCAAGCATAACCCACAATGCATGGGAAGTGGAAGAGAAGCTAAATGACTGAGACATTTTAAAAATTAAATTTTTATGCTCATCAAAAGACTTCTCCAAAAGGGTAAAAAAAAGGGAACCTGCAGGTTGGGAGAAAATATTTGCCTATGACATATCTGACAAAGAATTTATCTGCAAAATTTATAGAAAACTTCAACATGTCAACACCAAAAAGACAAACAATCCAATTCAAAAATGAGCAAGGGACATGAACACACACTTCACTAAAGATGATAAGCTGGTGGCCAATGAACACATGAGGAATTGTTCATGATCATTAGCCATTTGTTGTTGTTGTTGTTATGTGCATTCGAGTCAGACCCGACCCACAGCGACCCCTCCTTGGGTTTCCAAGGCAGTATCACTATGGAAGTAGATTGCCCCATCTTCCTTCCGAGGAGTGGGTGGTGTGGGTTTGAACGGCCAGCCTTCTGGTTAGCAGTCAAGTGCCTTAGGCACTATGCCACCAGAACTACCATTATAGGCCTCTTCTATCATTATTTTCAGATCTTAGCTCCATTGTCACAATTTCAGAAAACCTCCCTGATTTAGCTCTCCAATCTTTCCACCCTTATTCTTACATTAATTCTTTTTTATTCCTTCCACAGCAATCATTTCCATCTGAATTTGTCTTAATTAGTTTTTACTTTTTCTATTTTTCATTAAATCTCCACTTCTAGAATGTAAACTCTCTTATAGCAGGTACCATATATATAATTTTTCCCTACTGTGTCCCAAGGATCTATGAGGGTTCCTATTCAAAATATTAAAAATGTTGTAGAAAAAAGAGAATTAAATAAATTTTCTCAAAATATGTTAACAAATACATTTACAGTTTCATCAAATTTAGATAATATAATGAATATATATCTTCTCACTTAAACTTTCTTTAGATTTTGCTTCTTATGATCAGTAACTAAGTCTGATTCTACTTTCTCAATCATTTGGATGATCTCTCCCAATTAATTACTGCTAAAAATACGTTGTCCACAGTTCCTCTCTGTTGGATTTTTGTCATAACCTCCTTAATAGAAGTTGTTATTCTCCAGCTCCATTCTAGACACCAGTGTCATTTGCAGAACATAGTTCTGAAATACTGTGTGATGTATGCTTAGAGGTTTATATATTCCAGAAGATGTGTGATATCAGAAATAGATGGCATAGACATTATTTAACATACAAGATGTGGTAGTTAAGTTTTTGTGTCAACTTGGCTGTGACTGGTTGAGAGGCTGGGCAGCTGGATGTAGTTATTCCCCATGGTGTGATTGGTAATTAACTCCATGGTGGAATCTATTGGAGCAGCTGAGTAGCTGCATTATGGATGTGGTCTGTGTCCAGAATATAAGAAGCTACTTTGAAGAAGGTCTCCAGTTTACGGCATGCTTCAACCCAAGTCTTTGTTCAGCAGCCTGCCATGCTTTGCTGATCTTGGGGCTTTCAATGGACTTGAATCAATGGCCTGTCCTGTGGTTTGGTAATATCAGGACTGTGCCTTTTTCATGTGTCAACCTTGGGTTTGTCAGCCTCATCAGCCAGCAGCTGCCTGCATGAAGAGAAGCTTCTAGCTTCAGTGGCCCGGGAGCAAGAGGCAGAGCTGAAATCCAAGGTTGAGGCACTTTCCCCCAACCCCCTAGAGTCTGGCACTTTGAACTTGCACTTCTAGCCTCCAAAACAGATAGAGAACAAACTACTATTTCTTAAAGCTGTCCCACTTGTGGTATATTCCTGTCAGAGCAGCACTAGGTAACCAAACACATACAAGAAGAACCCAATGTGCAGCCAACTTATTGCTAGCTGAATTTTAAAGAGAAGCCATAACATCTCGAGGAAGGACAAATTCACAAGCAAACACAGAGTTGATCAAAATAAAGAACTATTTTTATTGACATAAATAATTTCCCCTGCTATGTGGAAAACCAAGACCAGCATAACAGCAAATCAGAGATTAAGGGCATAAAGACAAACATTTGGAAAACAGATTATATCATGGGAGTCTCCATTCACAAAAATGGCATTCTTAGAAGGAGGTACTTGAGATCACAGCCTTTAACAAGCATGTAACTTCCTGAATCAGAATTGTTCTATGAAGTGTCATTTCAGAAGTAAATTGTGTTTGGAGAGTGATGTTCTAGCAAGAAGAATAGCATCTTCTGTAGTAGAATGGCTGGTAGCCACAGCAGACAGAACCATATCCACAGCCATAGCGGGAACCGTAGCCACAACCATAGCCACAGCCATAGCCAGAACCGTAGCCACAGCCATAACCAGAACCATAGCCACAGCCATAACCAGAACCATAGCCACAGCCATAGCCACAGCCACCATAGTAGTTGCAACACATGGTGTTAGGAAGTGAAGTATCAATTGAAGTGTAGGAAGGTGATCTGAAGTCTGAATGACATCTATTATCCCAGGACCTTTATATACTGACAGAAAAAGGGTGTGACACAATTAACACAGATTCTGTGGCCTCATTACTACAGCAATTTTCATTTTTGAAAAGCTCATCATACGAAGGTCGACAATATTTTCAAGTGGTTATATTCAGGGTTTTACGTTACCCAGTCAATAGAGTTGTAATAATATAGATATACCCTACACATTGAACAAGTAGGTCCTGAGGAATTTAATAAAAATTTTATTTAGATTTTCTCAAAGGCATTAAGTCTCCCGCATTTCCAGTTATTCATACTATCACAGTGGTAGATGGTCCAGCATCTCATATCTCAGCATCCACAGAAAAAGCCCTAGCTTAGAGGCAAATGGCAAGGACATATGATGAAGCACTGTCAGGTTATACCTGCAAGTATATAGAGTTCATGCAAAATGATTACTGCAGTACTGGCAGAAATAGGAGACAGGAGAGGCCAAGATGCAATATGGTACAAAAGAAGGGTCTCATGCAATACATCAAAAAGTGCAACTATGATTTTGTCCAAAGCACTATAATATACTCCATCTAATGGTTCATTGAATATAAATGTTTGATATGTTACTCTCTCTTTGAAACATTTCCTGCTTGTTGCTGTTTTTATTGTTAGGTGCCATTGAGTCGGCTCAATTCATAACAACCTTAAGTAAAACTGAACAAAGCATTGCCTGGTCGTGTACCATCCTCACAATCCCTGCTATATTTGAGCTCATTATTGCAGCCACTGTGTTGATCCATTTCATTGAGGGTCTTCTCGTTTTTCTCTGACTGTCCAGTATGATATCTTTCTCCAGGAAATGGTCCCTTCTGACAACATTACCAAAGTAGGTGAGATAAAATCTGTACATTCTTGCTTCCAAGGAGCATTCTAGCTGCACTTCCTCCATGTCAAATTTGTTCATTCTTCTGGTCATCCATTGTATTTTTATTATTGTTTGCCAGCACCCCAATCAAATGCATCCACTCTTCTTCTGTCTTCCTTATTCATTGTCCAGCTTCCCAAGAATAGGAGAAGATAGAAAATACCAGGTCTTGGGTTAGGCACACTTTAGTCTTCCAAGTGACTTCTTTGTTCTTTCCTACTTGCCACACTTATTTTTCTCCCCCTAGTATTCCAGTAACCCATTCATCTGTTAGCTCAGCTTGTATTTCTCATCAGAAGCAGCCCTGAATATTCACCCTGTGCATTAGGCATCATTTATCTGTTCTTCCATTGATTACTGTGCATAATTCTAATGTGCTATTGAGAATGTTATATTAATATATTTTATAGATCTACTTCCTTCAGTTTATTGTATGTTATTTTAAGCTAATAATTGTCTTTGTTTTGTGAGATTATAATGAAGTAGGTACTCACTGAGTATTGAATGAGTATAAGATTTCTCCACCTATAAAAATGATGATATTTATTTTTATTTGGGCAATGTTCCATACAAAATAATAAAAACAATAATAACTGTTAACAATATTTATATTCTCCTTTATATTTATTACTCCATTTGATTTTACCTATAGCAATATAAAATCAGAATTTTTGGTATTTGTTAATATATACTCATTTATAGAGCTCTGGTGGCTCAGAGCCTGAGGCATTTGATTGCTAACCAGAAGGTTGGTGGTGCATACTCATCAGCCACTCTGTGGAAGAAAGACAGGGCTATCTACTTCCATAAAGAATTACCACCTTGGAAATCCAAAGGGGGTCGCTATGAGTCAGAATTGACTTGATAGCAGTGAGTTTGGTTTGGTTTTATAAACGTCGTGAATGAGAAAAGAGACATCAACTATAATTAAGTAAGTTGCTCAAAGGACTGCCACATGGATAATTGTAGAATTGAAATGGTTCAACTGCTACTATAACATAAAAAGTACAGTAGTTCCTATGAATAATTTCTTACTTCTATTTTTCAAATGGAAATTATCTTCCTCATCTGACTAAAATTGCTGATATATTGCAGTGTCTGTCTCACACTTCCATCATGTTTTTCTTTTGGTGGCACCATCACATTCCTAACCAACTCAAGGTGTAAACATCAGGTAGAGAGAGAATTCTAAACAGCTCTCAAGTTTATTCTGTAACTCTTTTTAAGTACCTCATTGTTTATGTTGTTCTTGGGTGCTATCCAACCAGCTCTGACTCATACCAACTCTGTGAGCAACAGAATGAAACACTTCCCAGTACTATATCATCCTAACAATTGTCACTATGTGTGAGCCCATCATCTCAGCATCTGTGTCAATCCACTTCATTGGGGGAATTCCTTTCCTTCACTGACCCTGTGCTTTATCAATCATGATATATTTCTCTAGTGAAATGTTCTGAGAACATGACCAAAGGAGGTGTTACAAAGTCAAGTTTTTCTCACTCCCAATGAGCATTCTGGCTGCACTTCCTCCAGGATAGATTTGATCTTTCTTCTGACAGTCCGTGGAATTTTCAGTATTCTTTGCCAACACTGCAATTCAAAGGCATCAACTCTTTTTGGATTTCCATATTCATTGTACAGCTTTCACATGCATATAAGCAGTTGAAAATACATCATAGTGTTATAATAACTGCTCTTGTCATGCCACTGCTTTCTTTATCTACTGAGAATATAACCTTAACAAATGATACTAATGCTCTAGGCATCTTTAAGGATAGTCTATATATATTAAAAAAAAAAAAAAAAAAAAAAAACTTTTGATGAACAAATTTCAGGGTGAAGTAAAATCTCAGATTTTAGATCTGCTTTTAATTGTGATTTTTTAACTTTCACAATTTGGATCATAGCAAGTTTTCCACAGAAGAATGATGAGACAGTCTCCTTCTATAAAGATTTACAACCTCAGAAACCCTATGGGATCGCTATGAGTTGGAATGAACATGATCACAGTGAATTTGGTTTCTTTTTTGGTAACTCCACATAGATAATGAATCATCATTTCTTTTGGGCCAAACTCCTTCCTTTCATCACAAGCTCCATCTAAGTATGGAGTCTATTCTATCTTCCCATTTTCTTATCCATTAACTTCTGAATTTATCATGACCAGTATCACATTCAACCATAAAAATATCTGTTATTACAAAAGAGTTCATACCTTCTGCCAACTACAATGGAAACCTATCAAGTAATTAATACCAGAGGATGAGAAAGATAAAAGCAGGATCAAATCATCACAAAAGAAGTTATTCTATTAAAATTTACTTATTTGTGACTAAACAGGCAATGACAAACATTTCAGTGAACTTGCAACCACAGCATATTTTAAAGTTCATACTATGGGATATATCAGACTATGTTTCACTGCTATTCATAAGGTTTTCACTGGCCAATTCTTTGAGAAGTGGAAGGCCTCTTCCTTCTTCCAAGTCTGCCTTAGTCTGGAAGTTCTACTGAAAGATGCTGCACATGGTTGACCCTGCTAGTATTTGAAATAGCAGTGGCATAGCAACTAGCCTTACAACAACATGTAATCCACCAAAGTTTGACAAACAGAGATGTTTACTTGTGTTTTATTTGACTATGCAAAAGGATTCGACTGCGTAGATCATAACAAATTATGGATAATATTGAGAAGAATGGGAATTCCAGAATATTTATTGTGCTCATGAGGAACTTGCACACAGACCAGGCAGCTGTCATTCAAACAGAACAAGGGGATACTGCATCGTTTAAAATCAGGAAAGGTGTGCATCAGGCTTGTAGCATTTCACCATACTTATACAATCTGTGTGCTGAGCAAATCATCTAGGAAACTAGACTATATGAAGAAAAATACAGCATCAGGAATGGAGGATGAATCATTAACAAACTGCAATATCCAGAAGACATAACCTTGCTTGCTGAAAGTAAAGATGATTTGAATCACGTATTGATGAAGATTGATTACAGTGTGCGGTATAGATTACACCTCAACATAAAGAAAACAAAAATCCTCATAACTAGACCAACAAATAGCATTATGATAAATGGAGAAAAGATTGACATTGTCAAATATTTCATGTAACTTTGATCCACAATCAAAGGCAATGGAAGCATCAGTCAAGATATCATCATATTGCACTGGGCAAGTCTTCTACAAAAGACTTTTTAAAGTATTTAAAAGCAAAGATATCTCTTTGAAGATTACGGTGTGTCTAACTCAAGCTATGGTATTTTCAGTAGCCCCATATGCATATGAAATCTGGACAACAAATAAACAACACCACAGAGAAGCTGATGCTTTTGAGATGTGGTTTTGGAGAATACCAGAAGTATCATGGTGTGTCAGAAAAGTGAATGAATCATCTTGGAAGAAGCGCAGTCTGAATGCTTCTTGGAAGCAACAATGGCCAGATTTCTTCTCACCTGCTTTGGTGACTATATGAAGAAAAACATGGCATCAGGATTGGAGGAAGAATCATTAACAACCTGAGATACACAGACTACACAACTTTGCTTGCTGAAAGTGAGGATGACTTGAGGCACTTACTGATGAAGGCTGAAGAATACAGTCTGCAGTATGGATGACATCTCAATATAAAGAAAACAAAAATCCTCACAACTGGACCAATGAGCAGAATCACAATAAATGGAGAGAAGATTGAGGTTGTCAAATAATTCACGTTCCTTTGTTCTACAATTGAGGTCAATGGAAGCAGCAGTTAGGACATTAGAAGACGTGTAGCACTGGGAAGATCAACCATGAAGGAACTGTTTCAAGTGCTGAGAAGCAAGGATATCTCCTTGAGGACTAAGGTGCGCCTGACACAAGCTATGATATTTCCAATTTCCTCGTATGCATGTGAGAG